AAGATACATACCTTTTAGCAATGAGTAGTTCTTTATGTTGCCATTTTGAAACATGGATAGCTTAATTTTTTACTAATATGTACAGGATGTCTCAAAAATGCTCATTATTTAATCCTTTATGACTTCTCCTTAATTTTTAAGCCTTATCTGTGTCTTACTGATTCATTTTGAGCTCAGACTTCTCCTGTCAACCGGTGTTGTTGTACCGCGTCCCACTACCGGCTCTTGGTATGAATACTTAGTTGGTTCGAAATCCATCTCCCCATAGCTTTATTACAATACCTTAGGTGATGAGAGATTATCATATATGGGCTCAGCGAAATGTGTAATCCTATCAGACAGTTTTTATGCGTCTTTAGAACTAGCTTTTTGCCAACGCCAAAGTGCTTAACCGACCGCTAAAACCACGTACAATTTTGTACCGTGGTCTCACCATAATGGAAGGGGGTACGGAGTCGTTTTTATGTGAATCTAAGTTCAAGTAGCTCCTTCTAAATGAATCATAGAAGGTTGTAAAAGTGAAAATGGAGAGGTTGGTGGTAATCGAATAGTGGGCACATTTTTTGGAACATTCTGTATAGTCGAATTACTGATGTCATAATCATAAAATGTTATTTTAATGAATGGACGGGGTTCTTTGACAAGCTGTTATCTTAATTTGCTGAAAATCTTTTCTAAATTGCCAAAGCTTCACGAATCGTTACAATCACAAAAAAATTTTCTATTTATAGATTAAACGAAGGAAATCCTTATGAAACCCTGTTCTCACTAATTGGAAAAGCAGTAACCCCATACTTCAAATCGTTTATAAAAGAAAGTGGGCGAGGAGAACGTGATGGCGACAAACTTGCACCTACCGTCGAGAAAAATCTTAACGAGGCTGAGGTTTGTGACTTATGCGATTGATTGTTATGGTTTGGAAAATCATGATTCAAGGTTGCCTTGCTCCATCTTCAACAAAATATCGACATACCAGAGATTAACCTAGTTATCAACCCACATATTCAAGCAGCAATACAAAAAGCTAACAAAGAAGGAAGGAAAGCTAAGGTTGGCATAAGGATTGGTGATTTAGTTTATTGGCTTGCATTGTCGAATTTTAGGTGACTGATCTGGGAGATCTAGTCGAAGACTCACAATTTCTGAATAGTCTGCAGTCAGGAGTGAACAGATGGATCAAAGAGATAAGAAAGGTTAGCTTGAAGCTTTTTTTTCCTTTACGATCTCATGTGTGTAGATAACACATTGAAGGTAACGAAGCTGGAACGAGATCCTGGATCTGGTTCATCGTTGCAAGAAATGACATTCTGGCTGAACCTAGAGCGAGCATTGCAGAAGATCTTGCAAAAGAGAGAGTCGGAAGAGGTAGAGAAATTTTTTGGAAAAGCAACGGTTGATTCTGACTTCGCCATCTCAGGTCACATTGACTCTTGAAGCTCTGAAATGCGGAAAACGATTCCATGCTACGGTGTCATTTGATACAGATACAGGTAAAAGAAGTTCTAATGTCCTAGTTTCTAAATTAGCATAATCTTCTCATCTTTATCCAACCTTTTAAATCTAACGTAAGAAGGAGCGGGGTTATAAATATAGGAGTTAGAACGTTACTCTGTTAGATATTGTATCCAGTGGAATTGACAAAAGAGAGGAAGAAGTTCTAAATCTAGCTAAAGAGGCGTTTAGTTTATCACGTTTTTTTTT